GCTGTGGCCATAGGGAACACGCTCAATAGCTGAGTAGTCATTGTGCTTGCAGAAAGACCTAAAACAAATTCCAGTGACTGGAGGCTGTAATATTGCCAAATTCAGCACATTTATTCCCTGTCTCTCAGTGATTGCTCCAGGCAAGGATTTTCCCTGGTGTGTGGGAGCTGGCTGGAGGAGCCTGCCTGTGTTCTCATTACCACGTGGGAGACGGGGAAATACTCCAGCTTGGACCTGTATCATCTGCTGTTACAAGATGATGTCAAGGCAGTTTCTTTAACGGGGCATTAGCTGGGTGGGCCTGGATACCAGCCACACAAAACAGTGGTAAAAAACCAGCAAGTTTTCCATTCTTTGCAATTCTGCTGTGTGGATACTGAAGAGGTGCTTGCTAGCGTTCCACCATGAAAGCCGCTGTCTCTCTCCTGGGACATTTCAGCCCATGGAGAACACAGACCAGTTGGCTCGCTAAGCTGTTCCCCACCTCCTGATGCAGTTCTCTGAGGCTTTGCTCTGTGACAAAACTGTGGGTATTCTTGCAAGTGTACTGGAGGCAGGGGGGCACAGGCGGGTGAGCTTTGCCCTGATAAATGCTGTTGTCTCTGAGTGTTTGTTCAGGGTTTTTGAGAGAAGATTTGGCACGAAAGAAAAGGGACTTGCTGGAAGATGGCCAGTGGCTGTGGAATTAAGGCAAGCTTGGGAGTTGTTGGGCTATCAGATTTGTTTGGTGAAAGCAAGACAAATAGCTGTGCAGAGTTTGCTCTGGTAATTTCTTTCCTCCCCGGATTCCCAGTCTGAAAGCATGCGCTTCTGAAGCTGACTACTGAACTGGAAGGGGTAAACACGAACCTAACATTTCCAAGCCAAGCCTTTGCTAGCTTAGCATTTCCTAACCCACAGACGTGACCACTGTGGTGATGTCATTCTTTTTCTCTCCCAGTTATAACTCACTCAGTTCTTTTCTTATCAAGTAATACTGTGAACAGGTCCAAACATCCCTGGCTTTGTTAGCAGGTCCTTATTCCACAGACATCCAATCAAGTACTGGTTTAGGTATGTTATGGACATCACTGAAAGACAAGTCTGTCCTAGAGTGAAGCTTGACCAGCTCATAGGACAGCTCTGTCCTTAAAGCACATCTTGCGATGCTCCATAACCCAGAGCCATGGGAAGTGGAAAGCACACAGGGCACAGGCAAGTACATAAGATTTGATACACAGACCTCTGGAGAACGTGCAAGCAGATAAATTGTTGGCATAGTTCAGAATCCAGCTGACACCCACAGCACATACACAGAATCACAGAATATTAGGAGTTGGAAGGGACCTCGAAAGATCATCCAGTCCAACCCCTGCTGGAGCAGGATCACCCAGACCAGGTCACACAGGAACACGTCCAGGCAGGTTTTGAATGTCTCCAGAGAAGGAGACTCCACAACCTCTCTGGGCAGCCTGGTCCAGGGCTCTGTAGCCCTTACAGTAAAAAAGCTTTTCCTTATCTTCAGGTTGAACGTCCTATGCTCCAGCTTGCATACAGCTATCTAGTGGATATAAAGTTTGTTTATGAAAAAAAACCCAAAGAACCCAGAATGGCAAATCTGCCTTTTTATCTGTCCAGGATGTAACCAAGGATGTAGTTAAGTGGATGTGGAATTAAATGGACTGTTAGAGATGGAGAAGTGCTAACAGATAACCATTGTCACTTCATGGTCCCACGTGGAGTTTGCTTTAAAAATTAAAAGCACTGTGAAAACAAGACCTAAAGAATAGAAGAACAACTGATGTGAAGTTGATGATGGTAGCTGGACACACTGAACACAGAGCAGCAGTGCTGGGCCTGGAGTCTCTGCAGCATGAGAGAAGCAGCATCTCCTGGGATTGCCAGTAGGACTGCCAGAGAAATGTGCAAAACCTCATTCAGGAAAGGAGGCTGGCGTCTGGCCTGTGGCCCTTGAGAGGTTGCCAGTCCCTGTTAGGTGCAGTCTTTGGTGCTTATCTCTCTGCCTGTGGGCTGGGAGCCCTGTGTATTCCAGGAATCTTACTTCTTGCAGAGCTTTACAAGGAAGCAGCACTACTCTTGGCCTCAGTTACTGAGAAGTTACAGTACATCCCCATTTCCCAGTCTGACTTTGTATTTGAGCTACCCAGCTTGGCTGCTTGAGTTCTGACAGACTTGATTTCAGCAGCGAGGGTAGAGGATGATTAAATGATACTTGAAGAAAGTGAAAGGCAGTATGCTGGTACCTAACATTTTTTAGGTTTTCTTTTCTTACACCAAGAAGGTGACAAGCTGTGGGTTTTGCATAGCAAGCCTGCTTTTGGATAATGTGCTTGCCAGAGATTTGGATATTCCTCCAAGCAGAGTCTTTCCTGAACATAGAGTACTACAGACATGTTCTCCACAATTGCCAGTACAGTTCCTTAAAAGCAAAGCAAGCTGTCTTTTTCTGGTTGTAGGAATCTTGCTGTCACTTGTGGCTCTTGGATTCGCCGTAGCGTTATATGAAGGAGCTTGAAGGAAAACGTTTGCTGCCTTCAGAATTTCCCTTTGAGACCCTGTTAACAAAAAAAGCCTTGTAGTTGCACACAAGTGGCTTCTTCCAGGCAGTATGCCTGAAGGTGCATAGGGCTTGAAAGAGGAAGGCTAAAGTGAAGCCATTGCTATGTGTGCTTCATGTATCATCAGTGCTTCAGGACTGATCCTTGCTCCTGTAACAATGTCCTGTCGGAGATCTTGTGGGCACAGAGTTGCTACTCGCCTGCTGCACACCCAGATCTGTAGCCCACCTCTCTAGAATTGCCTGAGACTAATGACAACTGCCCAGGAATATGGCAATACCTTGGCTGATCCCTTTCTCAGTGCCTGTAACTGTTCAACAGGTCTCCTTTGATCCTAGGCTCAGTGTGAGCAATAGTGTAATGTTTTGTTGTAGATGGAGGCAGGGTTGTACCTTGGACTAACAACCTCCCTTGTTTTTCTTCAAGGGCTTTTCAAACCTATGTTATTGTTTCACGTTTCTTTTCTAGGTCATCTGCTAACCGGTGTCTTGCGCTTAAATCCAGAATGCGTAACTTGCCAGGAATTATGGACAATAAAGAAATGCAGCTACTGCTGAGCCTTGTACAGGGAATCCTTGCAGCTTTTTGCTGTGATGCATGAAGAGGTAAAAGGCAGGTGTGAAACCTGTTGACTGGCTTTCCTGTAACTTAGAGGAAACGTCTTCAGTTCTCTGTGTATTCAGTAACGGTGCGAGTGCTAGCGTATTTGTGATATTGTCAACAAAAGCTTTTTTCTATCTGAGCTTAATTTTTTATAAGAACTGTGCAAAAGCAGCCTGTGTTGTAAGAAGCAATATGGCCATCTCCCTTTGAACTGTCAGGGTTAATATTTAACAGTTCCCCGTGAGTTAAAATAGCTTTTTGTTGTAGCATGCAAAACTGTCTCTGGTACAGATAAGCATTTCTCTGGCTGTGGTATTCACCTCTGCTGCTCTTTCCCTCTGCTCGTGGGGAGACGCATTCTGGACAAGGTCCATCTCCAGGCAGACTGCCGATTTTCAGGTAGGGGTGAGGATGAGATATATATATTACGCAACTTGGGATGGGGAGAGAGATTGTCAGTGAGAAGCAACACATCCCAGGTCTGAATATGCTCATGGCTCAAATCAAATGTGGTGCAAATGCCTGGCAGGGATTCATTACCCTTGGGGCATTTCACGTGCTTTGTTTTAACTGACACTGTTGATGAGCAAAGCCTGGTTGTACTGTACAAAACCCGATATGAGAAACTTGAAATGTATTTTGGTGTTAGGTGGAATAAAAGTTCAGATATATTAGATGCTTCCTTGAAACCAACTGAATTTTAAGGTGCCGTGCTGTGGGAGTCACTAGGGTGATCCAGTTCTTTCAAATTCTACAACTACCCACAGACTCAAATCCATCCATGTCCTGTTTTAATGGTGAACTGATGCAGTTATCATTTCCTGGCCACTCAGTGATCCCTGTGAAGTGTTGGGGCAAGAATTCACAGGTCAAAAGTAAAAGACTAGTCTTACAGTTGGTTCTGGAGGAAACTTGACTGAGAGCTTACAGAGAAGAGCAGCTGAAGATCATGTATTGCTGCTGTCTGCACAGACAGTGTGGAGCTGAAGTGGCACACTGTTGAGCTGCAGGCAGGCCTGTGTAACAAGTTTGTCAGCAATAGCAGGGTTAGATTTTGATGGACTTGGCACCTTTCAGACAAGTGAAATCTGGATTGAAGTTTTTCCAGTTGCCCTAAAGGCAGGTCAGCTTTATCAGAAAGGGAGGGGACTGTATGACACTAAACCCTGTCCTCCAATCCTTTACCCAAGCACTAATTTGCCTTTAAACACAAACTCCTCTGTGAAACAGTGGATTTGTAGTGTCTTGCTTTGACTTGTTTTGAGCAATCACAAGGTAAAATGGATGTGTATCTAGCCATCAGATTTTGGGGGCAGGGATTGCTTCTGAATTGGAGCTACAACCAAGTACTGCATGAAGAACATAAAGATCTGTTTATGGTTTTGCCTAGAATCTTGTCTGAGTCCTTGGGCAGGTGGTGGTCTGAAAAGTAATGTCTTTGACTGTAACTGTGGCTACTTCCATAATTCACACAAATATTCCCAGTGATGCTTCCACCAAATTAAAGGTAAAGGGTTTCCTTTTTACACTAGACTAATCTCATTAAGGGAAATACAGGAAACTTCTGTTGTTTGCAGTAAAAGGTGTTTCCTTTCCCTTTTTGTGTTGCAGTAAGCTTAGGGTGATAGACGGGAACAGTGTAAAGCTGCTTTCTTGTCTGAAAAATTGAATCTGTGTGCGAAGTGCCTGGGAATGTTGGGAGAGAGGGTGTGCACGTTCTTTTAGGGAAATCTAGAGAGAAGACCAGCCCACTCATTCAACACACCTTTGGAAAGCGCTGCCAAGTGAGCACCTCTGGGCAGCAGCAGCAGTGCCTCTGCTGCTCTCAGGCATTTCACCATGTGGTTTTTCAGGAGAAGACTTCCTAAAATTCCCAGAGCCTTCATTTGGCTCATCATTTTAACACATTTTTGTGTCTTCGTTGCTTATTTCAGCTCCCTCTTTGACTTGTCTAAGACAGGGATTTTCAGGTAAGAGACCTGCTTCCTTGTGATAGCACTGTCTGGATAGAGTGCTTGTTCTCACTTTCTTTCTCTCTCTGTGTCTTTTTACCCTGAAACGTGCACTTCTGATCTGAGTTAGATGACCACTTTGCTTTAGCAGACCACGTTGTGTACAATGGGAGCACAATGTTAGCAGATCCACAGTCAGAAACTTGCTTCTGCTGGATCGCTAGTTTCCAGAGTTTCCTTGTGTAGCTGTTTGAGAGCAGCTTTACCTTTACTAATGCTACCTGTTTTCATACTTTGGCACTACATAGTATTCGCTTTTCCTGATGGCTCGCAGAAGGGCCTCATTCAGCCCTAGTGCAAGTTGCATTGCTGGGCATTGAATATGGTGGGATACCTTTGAATTCATAGTGAGCTCAACATCTGATTCCTAATAGAATACTCTGCATACTGAGAGACCAACATCATGCAGGCGTGATCAAGATATAGATTATTTTTTATATAAGTGACCAAGTAAATTTTACAAGAATGGGTATGGAAGGAATTGCAGTGTAGACGTCAAGACGTAAGATGTCTCCAGCACTGTTGGCAGAAAGCGCAGTTCCCTGCATGAGGACTGCAGGTATCTGAGCCTTTCCTACTGCAAGCATCACTCGCTTACGCATTGGTGCCCTGTGCTGTGTATAGGGAGCACAACTCTTTAGCCTCCCCACCAGCCCTCGTGGTCCCAGCTCTCCCAGTGAGCTCATCTGGCTTGGTTTCAGCTGGACCTCTCAGGGCTGATGCTATGAGTGCAGGCAGGGAAACACCTACATCTCTTCTGAAGGTGGCATGAGTTTAGCTCAGCTCTGGTGAGTTGAGACCACATCTTGAGGACAGCTGCCAATTTGGAGAGGTCGGAATCTGCACGAGAGTGGTGGGGAGAAGGAAAAGGTGTAGAGAAGTGCACTGATCTGACCTTGATCACAGAGTCCATCAGTGGCAGAGCTGGGACAAGAACTGACTCTCCATGCACAGCTGCGTGAAGCCGTTTAATTCTGCCGTAGTTTCAGATAATGGAAATGTACTTATCTTTACAGCTTAAGTAGAGCCCAATTAAGCATGAGCTGTATGTGGTTATCTGCATGTCAGGTCTATTTCTGTATCTTTATGTGCAATATAAAATACACAAAGCAGCATTTTCATGACTTTATTTGTCCTAGGGCTTTGTAAACAGAAAGGAAAATGACAGTAAATATCATTGAGCTTCTGCAGTTGTTTGCCAGCTGGGCTCTAGAGCCTGAAGTTTGATGAGCTGCTTTGCCCAGTTGTCTGGATTTAAAATGCTGCTCAGGAGAGCAGGGTCCTCTGCAGGCAGAGTGCCATGGCCATGTGGGTCTGACTGCAGGGAGCAAGGTTTTGGATATGAAAGGCCTTTGGTTCTACATTTTGGACTCTGTATGTTTGGCACAGTATTTGAAATTAAAGTGTAATGGAGCTGGGGTGAAATCTGTGCCCTGCAAGACAGCAAGTACAGAAGGTCTGAGGTGGGGGGATGTCATACTGTTACACTGTCCTGTTTCATTTGTCCTCTGCTCTTTAATTTCAAAATTTTAAATGTCATCTAAAAATACAATGGAAAATCATTCAGGGATTTAAAAGCTGCCTGATCTACCTTACCAAATTTCTCTTTACTTACTGTAGGTGTCAAATCTTTCCTTTTACTAGGCAGTAAAGAGTAACAGAAGTTTATACATGAAGCACTATAATACAAAGCAACTGCTGCATACTTGGTTGAAACTGGCTAACAATTATGAGAGGAGGTAGAGGAAGAGCTGATAGGCCATTTACCACATCCTCTTCGAAATAGTGCTGGAAAGGTTCAAGTATTTATCTGATGCAAAATGATTTTTAAAAGCCTCCTTAGTTTATAATTTCCTAATCATTTTAATGAATGCCATACTATTCTGAAGCTTCTGCAGCAATTGAACTGTTCTGTACCACCTGCTCTCTGCAGTGGTCCTTTTTTTCTCATTTATCACATTGTAAGCAACCCACAGCTCTCAGAAACAAATGCATCATGCAAAGGGTGAACATGAGTGTGAAATCAGAGTGCCAGTACTATACTGGTTTATCCTGAAAAGCTTTGCTGTACATAAAAGCTCAGCTGCAGAAATTTTTCACCTTCCTTTTTCCTGTTCCACCCTCCAGCCATGTGCAGATAAGAATGACTGTTTGGGACAAAAACCCACCACTTCTGCATTGATTTGTTTGCTGGGTTTCAGCCAAGTCTTGTTGCAGGTGGCCTTTCTGCTGTTGACAGCTGTATCTTCCTACGATATCCGTGTACCTGCCTGTGCCTTTGAATCAGGCAACAGGACAGCTGCAATATTAGAGGGAATTGCTGAAAATGCAAGAGATTTTACATTTTTTAAGCTTTAGCGTGTATTTTAATAGCTTCAAAGTGCCTGTCTTAAGACATATACCTGGCAAGTGCTGCATGATGCCATTGCATTATCTGGCTAAGCAGGAGAAAGAGAGGAAAAAGTGCCTTGTGGCCTCAAATGTTCAAGAAGTGTATGGTTAAAAAGTGAGTTTCTTTTCCTATTAGACTTCCCTTACTGAGTTGTGGAAGATCTTCATGCTCTGTCGCTGAAACACTTGGCTCTGTTGGCAGAGAAGAGAGCCAGATGGCTGCCTTCATGGCCTGTGCCGTGTCCTGGATCTCCAAACCAGCCCTGCAGTGCTCTGGGGACATTGCCAGGGGTCCTGCCCAGCGCTGTTCTGTGCTGGTTTGCAGTTACATCTCGTGTGGATGTTTCATGAGCCAGGTGCTGAAGAGGAGAGGGTAGCCTCTGGGATTTGCTTAGTGGGGAGATAAGAGGTATTCAGGCCAGAATGGTGTGGAAAGTTGAGTAACACTTTGGTAGCGAAGTTGAAAATGAAATTGAATTCATACAGCATCCTGCAGAAACTTGGTGGCAGTTGTCAAGGCAAATCTTCTGAGTGTGGTGGTCATGTGCAGTGGTTGCTCTGAAGAACAGAGCAGGGCTCAGAGTCAAAAGCACTAGAAATGAGCTGGAAGATGTTCGTGTTCAGTGGAAAGTGTGTGTGATGTGTCTGCTTTTCCTTTGATTGCATTTAGGCAATTTACCATTTTCCAACATGCCCCAGATACGCTACAAGTGGACACCCAAGAGCAACAGGGTTTAAACTATTCTGATAATGAGAACTCAAGGAACCTTTTAAAGATGACTGTGGGGAAAGGCATCACAAGTCTCAAACAAGATATGGTTGAGAGGACATCAAGGTGGGAAGGAAAAGAGGAGCAGAAGAAAATAACGAAGCCAGTTGCTAGGGTGGAGGAAGCCAAGGAGAGCGTGACTGTGAAACCACCCCCCAGGTTGGAGGGAATCAAGAAGACAACAGTGAAAACAGCCCCTGAGGTGCAGGGAAACAAGGAGAAAACAGCAGTGACACCACCCCTAGGGGTGAAAGAAGCCAAGGAAGAGACAATAGTGAAATCAATTCCTGAGGTGGAGGGAGCCAAGAAGAAGACAACAGTGAAACCATCCTCCGAGGTGAAGGAAGCTCATGAAAACAACATATCCGAAGACCACACAAAGCCAAAAGAGCCTCCTGCATCAGTGAAAACTGTAAAACCAGTTACTCAGGCTGCTGCAGTGACACAGAAGAAGAAACTGAGGGCTGCTGACTTTAAGTCTGAGCCACAGTGGGATTTCGAGGACAAGTACCTGCTGGACAACGCATCTCCACCATCGGTAGGTGTGATGGCTGCGTATGTTTGCCAAGAATGATGCTTCCCTGTTGACGTCCTTGTCTGCTGTCCCTTGGGTATGTGTGCCCTTTGCAGTCAAGCGTGATCTCCAAGCTGGTAGGTCAAGTCACTGGTATATGCAGGTGCTGCTGGGACCTAGAGAGGAAGACCTGTATGTATGTCTCAGATAGCCTGGCCAGTCTTCCACCATGCTCTAGTATGGGAACTTACTGCAATTGCACGCATTTCTATGGGTTCCTTTGAAAGTCAGCCCGAGCAGCCTTCTCTGGAGCTCAGGTGCACCAGAAGCTGTGGAAAATATCTCTCCTTCTAAACATGATACAAGGTGGTCCCACTCTGAGATGCCTTGATATATTGCATAGGGGATTTATGCATACAGTGCAGCATATATGTTCCCTGTGGAGTGGTAAGTTGGGTCACACCTAGTCTTGTGATGCCTACAGGCAGGCATTAGGTGTCTGGCCACCTATATGTCTTCATACAGGCATCCCATTTCTCCCCTGATCTCTTGGGAAACTGAATATCTGCATTCCTATGAAGGCTCAGGTTTACAATGCCCAGATTTGCCTTTATCTTTGGTTTATGCAGCCCAGCTAAAGACAACAAGCAGTGGCACGGTGAGGGAACAGGAATAGGAATGCCACTGTGTGCCTGTTCACCTGAGCACATCCATACCAGAGCAAGTCAAAAGCTTTGGCAGCAGTGAGGCGGCAGTGACGCTAATGCTGTGCTTGGCCGCGAAGAATGACGCTGGCAGTGATGGCGAGGAGGGTCTCAGTACACAGGAACAGAGACTTTGTTAGTTGCTTGCATTAAAGTCAAAATAACGTCAAAGGGTTAGATGAGGATTGATAAGCATGTACCTGCCTGCTTTGGAGAAAGTAGGGTGGAGACTGTTCCCATCTTTAAGGTTGTCTGTCAATATTGGCAAAAATTCAACTATGTGTGTGTGCCCCATTGGAGAAAGGATAGTTAAAAGGTAACTTTTTTACAGTTCTTGTGGTTTATTATCAACAAGAGGAGAGTCTTTCCCAAGGTTGCCAACTCACCTTTTCCACCCTGTACGTAGACGCCCATAGTGAGCCCGCAGATTCTTTACCCATTCAGAGCTCCGCAACTCAGATGGTCCCAGCATGTTGGGTTGCTATCTAGGATTTTCTTACTATGCATTGAACCATCATCACAGCAGAGCAAATAATTCCTAACAGATCTGGCATTCAGCACGTCTTGCTTTGTTCCCCTTTGTTAAATAGGAGCAACTATAGGCCTGGTCAGCACAGATAAAGTATTTTGGTAGAGGTGAAGATGAGAATCTCAAATGATACAGTTGTACCTGTCAAGGTCATAGCACTTGCAGAGCTTCAAAGTTGTCTTACAGATCCTGTTTGTTGGGAGTGTTGTTCTGTAGGTTAGTTCTTGTGGTCACCTCTGCCTGTGTAGGTCATATTCCTGATGTGATCTTCCAAAACAGTAAGCCTATTGCCCACCATTAGGATATCTTAACAGCCATGGAATTGAAAGCCTGTCTTTTATTTTCTGCTTTGCACTGAACTCTTGTTCTGACCATACTTTTGACCTTTCCTTTGTAGCTATGAGGGTTTGAAACCAATTTAAAATTAAATTTGAGCATCTCGTAGTTGCTTGGGTCCAGAAATAGAGCCTTTAGGAAAGTCATAAACTATAGTGAAGTTCCCAGCAAGCAGTTGGGGCAGGTTGTGGTGCACAGTACTGTCTCTGTCCCCCATTTTATGCTGGTAGAGCTTACCCAAAGCAGTTTTCCCTGGCATCCCTGTTGCTGGAAGGCTTGGACAGGCAGGTAGCCTTCTCTAGAGCGAGGAAGGTCTTTATACATGGGTGTAAGTGGCCTTTACACACTGCTCATGTGCTCAGGAAGGAGGGAGGGTATAGGCAGGTGAGCAGGGGGAGTCCTCTTCTAGCTCATGGGTCTTAGGTGAGCCATTTGCCTAAAGTCTCGGTGCCACAATCTTCCACCATTGCCACATGTCATTTTGGTGGCATTAAGGAGGAGTGTAGATGTTGCTCCAGGGAACTGTCAGGGCTGCAGGCACCATGTTGTTCTGCTCAGACCTCTCCTGCTGGAGCAGGGGCTACTCTTGAAGAATTTAATCCCATTCCCCAACCCCAGCGTGGCCAGAATGCCCTGGCAGACATGCAGAGAGCAGAGATAGATGACCTGGGCCAATAGAAATTCCTAGGGTGATTTTTATTGTTTTGATGTTTTAGTTTTGAGTTCTCTCTCCCTTGCGGTATTTTGATGTTGTTGCCTGTTTCCCATTTTGGCAGTGTGAGCCATTCTTTTCCTGATGGGATGTGCTCTTCAGTGAGGCATTGAGCTGCTTGAGAGGAGCAGCTGGCCCCGAAGATCCCTCTGTTATCCAAAGGTCTGTGACTATTAAATGTGGAACTTGGCTGTTAAACGCCTGAGCTCATGCGCTGGCCTGGCCTTACTGAGTCACTGCAAAAGGGCCTGGCAGATGATCCAGGCTGTGGTGAGGATGTGCATCCTTCTTCCTGGGCTCCCCATGGTCTCGAGACACCCAGAATACAAATGGGAGTGGGTGAATTACATGGCTAAGAGTGCATATGCCACGTGAGACAGTACCTCACCCCTCCTGCCCAGTGTCACTGCCTGTAGACACAGTGGAGTTATGTCCCCAGGATCCTGCCCATTGACTGCCAGATGTTCCCATCTTCTCATCTGATGAGCAGCAGAGCTTGTGCAGCCATCTCAGAAGTGCAGAGCAGGAGCTGGCAGAGAAATGTGAGGCAACATCTCACAGCAGGAAGCTGAGAACATCACTGTAACTGAGGCTGTAGAGCATCTGGGTGTGCAGAACAGCAGAGACAGTGGGGAAAATCCTTCATCTGTACGGAAAAGAGGAGGAAATGCACGCAGAAGGGTATTCAGTGAAGATGTGGATCCAGACATCACATATTCGTTCTTGCTGCCAAATCTGATCTCTAATTCTGGAGGGAGAGAGAGTGACTAGAAGCACTCCCACCTCCTTCCTTTCCTACATGATCAGACTTTTCCCTTGTTCCTCTGATAGTGATCCAGCCTAGCTGTGGAGGCACAAGAAATACCAAGTACAAAGTACTTGAGCTGAAAGGGGAAGTCCCTCTCTCTGGATATGAAATGGGCTGCAAGTGAAATAATGCCAACATGAAATCCTCCACAATGTTGTTCTCATTGCACTCCTGTAGTGACAGGCAGAATGAGGGCTGTCTAAGGTGGATTGTCATCCTCACCTGAAACAGGGAGCTCAGCTCAGCTGTGGAGCACACAGCAAGGCTTTGGTAGTGCAGTCTGGTCATTGCTGGGGATTTGAGCTGGGCATGCAGGTCCATTTGGTCTCCTGCATTGTATTTCAGTAGGGGGTTGGGGAAGATGTCAGAGATAGTAAAGCCCAAATTGACTCGGCAGAAAATCCAGTGCAGTGGAGTTTTTTTGCTCTCTTTCTGCACACACAGCCTAACTCTTGCCAGCTGCAATGAGACCTCTGTTGTTAGAGAGGATAAGCTGGCTTGGATTCCCTTCTCGGCCTTCTCTGTGGTTCATTTATTATATTGAAAAGGTTGTTTGCATGCTTTTTCTTATCTTTAAAGAGAGTGATAGTGGTGATCTGATCTCATATGTTCCTCAATCTGTTTGCTCATGTACACTCAGGCCAGGATTTTGCGAGGCGCATCAGGGGATTGCCAACAAGGACTGGTAGCCTTATTTGCTATGTTTAGGGTAGACCTATTACAGATATTAATTTGCATAAGCTAATGAGGCCCAAAGCCAGTAAAACATGTGAGCATGGCAAGCTTTTTGTTCTGAAGAGCTAAGTCTCAGAGACCTGGAGTCTCTCTGGCTTCTTTGTAGGTGACTTTTCACCAGCTAGTTATTGATGGAATGCTGAAATTACACCTCATGGTGATGGGTACACTGAGGGGAATGGATGATGTGCCACTGGAATTTCTGTGCTTCTTTCCAGTAATCTCACACACAAGCACTGGTGTTCAGTCAGGTTTATCAGCTCCCTGCTAATCAGTCCTTATTGTTTTCTTTTTGTTTTTCAAGACCTGCTCTGAATCGGTGAGGGCCAAAGCTGCCAAGTCTGACTGGCTGCGAGATCTTTTCCTGCCCAACATCATGCTCTTCACAGACAAGAGATACTTCAATGACAGCGAGTGGAACCGCCTGGAGCATTTTGCACCTCCGTATGGCTTCATGGAGCTGGATTATTCATGTGAGTCCCTCAGGACATGTCAGGATGGCACCATCAAATTCCCGACAGGAACCTTATGCCAAGTAGCTGGAGGTTTGCAGCATCTTTCTGTCAAAGGCAGCAGGCTGAGTGGATCTCGTGGTGGAAACTGTGATGGTTTCACTGTGTCCATCCTGAAGGCTCTTGATGTTAACTCTCCACCATGTTTGCTTCACAGTGGTGAAGGAGGTCATGACCCTGCTGCCCCTGAATCCCCACCAGCAGCTGCTCCTGGCCAGCAGCAATAACAGTGTGCCAACATGCATCAGCTGTGCTGTCGTGGGGAATGGAGGAATACTGAATAACTCTGGGATGGGCCAGGAGATTGACTCCCACGACTATGTCTTCCGGTAAGGCAGGCTTCCTTCTAAAAAAAGATACACAGCTGGCATATTCTGGCTAGCAGATAATTACAGCTGGATAACTTCACCTCTTCTACTATTGCACTGACTCCCAGGTCACAAAATGACTGATGGCAGGAGGAGATGAAAAACCAAAAAGGAATCAGAAAGTTCCTAAACACACAGGAAGGGCCTGGGTTCACAGATGAGCTGTAAAAAGCCATCTCCAAAGCAGGAGCTCTCCTGCAGATCAAGAGAGGTGTAGCTCAAAATGGGCCTAATCCTCCCTTCCTCCAGACCAATGCTGTCTTTTCCTGTTATAAACATGGATGTGAGTATTTTCAATGGTCATCTGCTAACCCTGCTCCTCTGTTTGATTTCCTTGGCCAGGGTGAGCGGGGCTGTAATAAAAGGTTATGAAAAAGATGTGGGAACAAAAACCTCCTTTTATGGATTCACTGCCTACTCCCTGGTTTCCTCTCTCCAGGTCTTGGGACACAGAGGGTTCAGGAACATCCCACAGGGAAAAGTAAGTCAGGTCTATGCTATATGCATGCACTGCTTTGATGGGATGCTGTTAGTCTGTGGCCTTCAGTTCTGATCTTACCGTGCATGAGGAGCAAAGGGACTGAGCTAATGCTTTAGCATTGCCTTTAGTGAGGAAACCAGCATTGGCTTGGCTCATAGCAAATATTCACAGTGGTGAGCTCCGTCAGTCCTACCCTAGCCTTTTGGCATGTAGAAGTAGCTGCACACCAGATGTTGTCTCCATTCTGCTTCTGTGGGTTGGTTAAAATCTGCAGACCAAAGATGCATATTCAAGAAACTCAGTGAGCCTAGATGCCTGCTCGCTTTTTGTTTTTAAAGGATATGTCTCTTGTGCTATTCATTAATGCTCACTTTTTCTTTTAGCATGTCAGATACATTCATTTCCTGGAGGGAGCTAGAGACTATGAGTGGCTGAAGGCTCTTTTGCTGAACAAGGACATCAGGAAAGGATTCTTGAACCACTACGGGTAAAACAAACTGGCCCTACCCCTACACCCTTGGTTTGGAGCTCTCTGCTGTGCCCTCTTTCTCTCCACAGTGCTCAGCCCTGCTGAGGTGCAGGCCAGGGTAAAGCCAGGTTAAAGCCTCCCTCGCCTGGCAGATTTGTCTGGAGAAATATCTTATTTCCCCCCCCATCTCTGAGCACTGCTGTAACCAATACATCTCCTTTTCAGAAGCAGCTGATTTCAATGATGTGTGGCCAGATCTTGGAGAAAGCTTTGTGGTCCTCTGGCATGACCACATGCTCATGTCTGCTCTGGTGTCTGTACCTGGTGTCCTACTCATGGATGAAGGCCTGGTTTCACCAGTTCTTATCTATACACACACATGCTTTTGATATTCCTGTCTCCTGTTGTTACCACTCCTCCCTGATCTCTTCCTCTGCAATGCACACAGGTTATGGAGGTTTTGTCGTATTCTGGGAAGTGTTGTAGAATAACAACTTTTTTTGTGGTTCTTCTCTTGAAGCTGATGCTTTCCAGCTGTGATGAAATACAGGACTTACCCTGAGTTTCCCCATTCCTGTCCTTAGGCAGAGACCCCGGGAGAGATTCGCTGAAGATTTCACGATGAACAGATACCTGGTTGTTCACCCCGATTTCCTCAGATACATGAAAAACAGGTGAGCTAGGGCCTATGTGCTCTAACAGGCTTATTTTTTCTGGCCAGTGCCATCTCTGTCTCTGGGCTCTCTCCTCTCAGCTCACTCCGTTGTAACTGCAGTTTAGCCAGACCAGCAGATCTGGGGTAAGCTTCATCAGTGGGCAGTGAGTTAAAATTCTCTGTGGTGCTGCAGTGGGATGTTAGTGGTTGTAGACATCCAGCATCTGTGAGCTGGAGAGGCAGCCATCTGGTAGATTGACTTTCTGCGTCCAAAAGAGCTCCTGGGCAAATGGCAGCTTAAGATATGGTCAGAGTGTTGCTGAAGTGCCAGAATAGTTGATCTGGTTCGGGACCAATCTCTTATGTTACCCATTGCTTACCACCTTGGAGGAAGGCTCTGTAACAACTCTTCTTTCCCAAGATCCCTTCTTGACTCCCTCAAGCACAAAAATAGGCACTTCAGTATCCCATTTGCCTGTTCTGGCTGCTGCTCTTTGCCTCTCTAATCTTTTTCACAAGCTGCTGGACACTGTCACTGTAAGATCTGCCAATCGTGGGCCACATGTGACCCAGAGATGTAGGGAGAGCTCCTGTTGACCCCTCCTTTGGCTGCGTTTACCCTTCAGTCTCCTTGAGAGCTGAGTTATGCCACCTCTTAGAAAAGGCAAATGCAGTGCCAGATGGCTTACACCTCCCTGCTTGTTCTGCCACCTCCCCTCTGACTTGGGTCCTTTCCAAGGCCAAGAGGGCTCAAATGCTATTTTTTTTCCTGGTGTGAATTCCTACCTTCCTAGCAACTGCTGCCATAAAACACTGCAGCTCCTAGCAGGTTTTGTGACCCTCCTCTGCACCTTTCCTATGTCTCGTCTCACTCTTAAATGTGGATGGGGAGCAGGATATACCAGGGAGCTTCAAAGCTCCTTCTGCATTGCAAGGCAAAGGACAGATTTAAGAGTGGACTTTAACATTCAAGATCCTTTAATCCAGCCCCTCTTTATCTCCACTGCTTCAAGACCTGCCACTTTCATAGAGCTGGGCTTAGGGTGCAGTGGAGGTGATGCAGCATTCTGGGCTGCTTTACTGAGCACGCAATCGTACACACGTATGGGGTTACTTGTGGCTTGTCTGAAATGCCCCATATGGCCCCAATCAGGGCTGCAAGGAGGGAAGATGCTACACAGGTCACAGGGGGATGAGGTGTGCCCAGCTTGAACCATGACACCCAGCAACTGCTCTGTGCTTTCATCTCTCCTGCTGCAGGTTTTTAAAATCTAAAACTCTGGAAAAGCCTTACTGGCGGTTGTACAGGCCCACAACCGGGGCCTTCCTGCTGCTGACTGCCCTTCATCTCTGTGACCGGGTAAGGGTACGATGATTCTTGTACACAGCACTGTCTGGAAGGGGGGATAGGATAACTGGGCAGAGCAGGAGTGGCTTCAACCCTGCCTAACACTTGTCTTGAGAGTATATGGGTTCTTGTCAGCTGTGAAGGAGCAGATTGAAGACAAGAGGAAACATTCCCAAAATACTTCACATAGAGGTTGTGAAGCTGGCTGTGGCCTGAGAACTACGTCCCTGGGAGGCCATGAGAGGAGAGCAGGCTCTCTGGAGCCAGTCCTCACAGTCTGGTCCTTCTGGACCCCCATGGAGGGTCACTTGGAGAAGCCCTGACTGACATCCCTGTCCTGTGCTCCCTCCTCATTTGGGAGCTATGTCCTGTGTTTCACTGAGCTTCCTCCGTCCTCAGTACCTCTCCCCAGTGAGCTCTCTGTCTCTCCCAGGTGAGTGCCTACGGCTATATCACGAAGGATCACGAGAAGTACTCGGATCACTACTATGACAAAGACTGGAAACGTCTGATTTTCTACACTAATCATGACTTTGGCCTGGAGAAGCAGGTGTGGAAAAAGCTTCATGATGAGAATATCATGAAGCTTTACCAGAGATCCTGATTGTGTGGCAAGGGCTATTGCCTGGGACATCTCAACAATACCTCACTGGGAATGGAAGAGAACCTCCAGAACCACAGTTAGCTCCGGACTTTCAGGCACTGTTTCATGTCCACAGAGATATTTCCTTTCTTTACAGAATCACAGAATCTCAGGAGTTGG